GTCGAGGAAGGGCGAGAAGGAGATTGCTTTAAGAATTACTTTAGGTCATTTTGTCCATTTGGCTTACATTTTTTGTCTCTTGGTATGACATTTGTGTAAGATGTTGCAAAGAAGGTGAGATGGCACTAAGGAATTTAGGCATTCCTAAAAAAGAGATTACATGTTTTAGTAAATCGGTTTTGTTCTGCTTTCTTTGTTCTTACGAGAGGCGTGTGTGTGTTTGTGTGTGTGTGTGTGTGTGTGTGTGTGTGTGTGTGTGTGTGTGTGTGTGTGTGTGTGTGCGCGTGCGTGTGTGAGTGTGTCTGTCTGTGTTAATGTGTTTGTTTGTTAGCATGTGCTTATGTGTGTATGTGTGTGTGGCTGAGACAAAGAGAGAGGGAGAGAGACAGACAGACAGACAGACAGACAGACAGACAGACAGACAGACAGACAGACAGACAGACAGACAGACAGACAGACAGACAGACAGACAGAGAGAAAGAGAGAGAGGGAGAGAGAGAGAGAGAGAGAGAGAGAGCGAGAGAGAGAGAGAGATAACCCAAAAAATGGTTGGAACAAAGTGGGAAAGAGTAAGGTAGTGTTTCAGAGAGAACGTCTGGTAAAGACACTATCGATCACCTGCACCCCTTTCTCTCTTTTTCTTTGCCCCACTTCCCATCTCTTTTCGATCCCCTGTCTTTCTCTCTCTCTCTCTCTCTCTCTCTCTCTCTCTCTCTCTCTCTCTCTCTCTCTCTCTCTCTCTCTCTCTCTCTCTCTCTCTCCATCTCTCCCTCTCTATCTCTCTATCTATCTATCTATCTATCTATCTATCTATCTATCTATCTATCTATCTATCTATCTATCTATCTATCTTTCTTTCTTTTGCCCTCCCTTTATTTTTGATCTCCCGCAAAATCAGCCTTCCTGATTATCTTGTTTAACATTATGTTTTGAACTGTCGACTGTCCATTTCAAGGGAGACAAAATACACTTTGTTGCTGCCTGTTTTGTTGTACCCGGTCTTGCTTCGCTCTATTCCTTTCGAACTGGGAGTTGCTTTGAACGTATGGGTCTTGATGACACAATAGGACCCCGAGACAAGATGGGGATATTTTTCAGAAGAACGAGCAATGTACTTCGATCCTGACTAACATTCCCAGTTCAAACTTTTCTACACCCTCAGTATGGAATTCTCTCCCACTGCATAGTTGACCGCTTTTAAAATAAGCCTAAAGACACGTTAATTTATTTGAATCCTATTTTATAAGCTAGTTTGATTTTTCTCCCAACAATACGCGTGACCAGCAGTCACAGTGATTGTCTTTTTTTTTCTTTTTTGGTGTCTTCTTTTGTCAGATTTTGTGCTCAAGGAAATAACTCTGCAGCTTTTTAAATTAAGATGTACTTTTTTCAGGGCTCCCTTGACTCCCTCAATCCGACGTTTGCGTGGCCTACGCCCTCCGTTGTAGCCTGAATAGGCCTACTTTGTGTTATTGGCCCTACTAGCTGGCTACCGAAATGACTTTCGTAATATGTATCGAAATGATTACATAACTCCATGCTAACAGTTACACCTTTATTTCTCTGCCTGTCTTGTCTTGTTGTGTTTATGTTTTTGTGGAGACATTTCTTCTCGCAAGCAGTGGTTTTGCTTCCATGGGTTTTGCTTCAAGTCCAGGTCTGGCACTGGTAGCACACGAGGGGCATACCAAAAGTTTTTTTTGTACTTGACCATGCAGGAATAAAGGTAGAAAGCTGACATTTGGGGTGAAAGCCAACAATTATTTTCTTAGAATGCGTGTAAATTTTGGGGAATTTCCTATTATTGGTTTTAACGCCAGCGCACTGTAAGTGAATGATGTTCTCCAGTTTCAACATGAAAAGGGAAAACATTGAGCACAGGGCAGTGAAGAAGTTTTTGTTCTCACAAGGCAAGCAACTACAACATATTTTACGGAGATGCATGCGTATATGGATGGAACTGATTGCCCCTTCTATGATATGATAAAATTTTGGTGTGAAAAATTCAAATGCAGATTCATGGACATTGAAGATGACCACCGTGGTGGTCGCCCAGAGACAGCAACAACAAAAGAGAATGTGTTGAAAATCACGAAACGTGTGTTGTCTGATAGGCAGGTGACAGTCGAATGTTTGAGCAAAGAAACTAGGCTTAGCATTAGATCAGTTGAACTAATCTTAAATGAACGTTTGAATATGATCAAGGTTTCTGCGAGATGGGTGCCTCGTTTGTTGACTCCTCAAAAAGTCCAAAGGTGGATTGATGTCAAGAATTGCTTGGTCTGCATGAAAAGGATGAATTTTTGAAAGACTTGTAACCATGGATGAGACATGGGTCCACCACTATAATTCTGAGTCAAAATCTGCATCAATGCAGTGGACATCGCCCTCATCTCCAACACCAAAGAAGGCAAAGGTTCAGCCATCAAGCGAAAAAGTGATGCTTTCAGTTTTTGGGAGTCCAAGAAGGAATGATTATGACAGATTATAACAAAGGCTGTAAAAGAAAAACGCTGAGGAAAGATCCGCAAAGGCATTTTCTGCTTCACGACAACGCGCCAGCACACATTTCAAGAAAAATTGTAGAAACTGGGCGAGATAGTGGCTATGAAATTTCGCTACATCAACCCTAGTATTCTCCAGATTTAGCCCCATTCGACTTTTTTAAATTTCCCAAACTGAAAAGAAGTATTTAAAAGGAAGGCATTTTGAAAGTGATGATGAGGTCAAAGAAGCAGTTGAGGGTTGGCTTTCTGACAAAGAGAGGGTTTTCTATTCTGAAGGTCATTTCAAGATCATAGACCGATGGCAAAACTGTATAACTGTGAGAGGCGACTACACAGAGACAGGTTAGTACCAAAGTCAGCTTTCTACCTTTATTCCTTCATGGTCAAGTAAAAAACTTTTGGTATGCCCCTCTAATGTGGGTATATACATTACAGCGATAGGCTGTCTCTTTGTCTCCATTGAGATGTTTGGATGAGATAGAAGAGGTGCGAGCTGACAGGTGACGCTAATGGCTTTTTGAGTTGGTATTTCTATTTCTCCATCAATGGACCCATTTTCAGTTTAAAAAAAAAAAAATGTTTAAAGAAGCTGTCAAGATACATTTGAACTTCCTGAGACCTGTTTTAGCTGTTTGTGATTCACATGAATGTTCAAGGGACTATAATTTCGGCTAGCTTTCATAAATTTTGTTTTTGATGCGTTAATTATCATGTCAAATTTCTCACAGCTGTTGTTCAGTTCGATGGGGATGTTTTGGAAGCCTTGGTGGTTTGGTTGAATAAATCATTGGTTGTCTACAAACAGAGGTTATAATGGAGCTAAGCCCGTTTGTGGGGTCAGATATCCTTTTAACACAGGTGCCCAAGGCAAACACAACGTATGCAAGCAAATCGGGGAGTTGCGATAAAACTGCCAGATGACATCACAGACAACATATTTCCTTTCCATATGCGACGGTAACAATTTCCGGTTAGACCTGCTTTTGTAATGACAGCCAACAGAGCTCAGGGACAGACTTTGAAAAGGATAGGGGTTTCTTTACAAAACGATTTTTTTCACGTGGACAATTATATGTCGCAATGAGTCACGTTGGGTTAAGCAGGGACTCTATTAGGATACATGGAAAGAGACCTGCTGCCCAGGACGGAGTTCCAGATGGCGCATATACCAGCAATGTTGTCTACACAGAGATCCTACAGCAATGAATCAGGTACCGGTACAAATATTTTATCGTGGGCTTTCCTATTATTATATCACCGTTTGTAGAACAGGTCTGTGTCTAGTAATAGTAAAGTTCGTAGAGCTTGCTGTTGAGCGGGAATATGCGTTATGCAAAAATGCTGTTGTTATTATTATTATTATTATTATTATTATTATTATTATTATTATTATTATTATTATTATTATTATTATTATTATTATTATTATTATTATTATTATTGTCCTTATTATTATTATTATTATTGTTATTATTATTATAATAATTATTGTCATTATTATTATTATCGTTATTATTATTATTATTATTATTATTATTATTATTATTATTATTATTATTATTATTATTATTATTATTAAGGCAAGGGTGACAAGCTCATCTCCTGTAGGTGAATTGAGATCTTAGGACGGTATTTTACGGCCTCTTCTTAACATCAAAGTTCAGAGTTACAGAAGCCCACACACTTTTCCTACACGGAACTCTTTGCCAAGGTGTTGTCAGGGATTTTTGGATTTTTTCATCACTATTGGGCTACCATAGCTCAAGCTTGTGACAACAACTGGTGGTAAATAACTGTTCTTGTATTGTTATGGACTGCAGTTAACCCTTTCTCTGCCAAGGGTGTTCTATAACATAGCAAAGAGACATGCCAGTCTCATGTCTAGCTGTGAAGGGGTCTGTACAGATTGAGAAGATTATATCAATCATGCTTTAATATAATGTTGCCACCTGGAAATATGGTATTTGAACACCTAAGTTCTTTTGTCACAACCAACCCCAGCCTCTGTCATAAGAAAACAAAAACAAACAAACAAACAACAACAACAACAACAAAGAACAATAGCAACAAAAACAACAACCACAACAACAAACAACAACAGCAACAACATCACCACCACAACCACCACCAAGGACGTTCCTGCGATTTGTCTTAAAATATATGTGTGGGGTTTTTTGTTTGTTTGTTTGTTTGTTTGTTGTTTTTCTTTGTTTGTCTGTTTGTTTTTGTCGGTCATCTCTCATGTTTTTGCTGTCTATTCTTAATTAAATGTCACATATTATGGGTCAGCATACCTCTCTTTATCTGAAAAAGGACAAAAATCAGTTTCTTTAACTTTCTTATCTCGTTGTTTTGACGTTACTCTTCAGGAATGTCACATTTTTAATGATATTCTACTGCATTCTGACAAAAACTGTCGTCTACTTTTGTATCCTTATCTTTTGGATTTCTCCTTGACCTCATGCTTGAATGTCGTCAAAAAACGCATGTTTCCCATTTATCTCAAATAAATAGATGAGGTTTTGAAGCCTACAGCATTCCGGTGAAAGACAGAAGTATTCACCACAAAATGAGGTAAGCGTTGTAAACTTTAGAATATTTTCATTTTCTATGCTGCTATAACAGATAATCAAGTTTCAGGTTGTCAAAAACGTGTCAACAGAATAAGGATTGTTTAAATCAGATGTTGAAAAATAATTGAGACTTCTTCTTTTTCTTCTTCTTCTTCTTCTTCTTCTTCTTCTTCTTCTTCTTCTTCTTCTTCTTCTTCTTCTTCTTCTTCTTCTTCTTCTTTCCCTGCCAGACCTGAGGAGTAACCGGAAGCTGATTCTTAAACCTTTATTGCATTTGAGACTAATGGGTAACAATTATGTCTAAAAGTAATGTATTTTACTGTGTGTAAAACGTAATTGTCTCGGAGTTAGTTAATTACACTCCTATTTTATTGTTACTACAAGCAATCTCATTCTTCTAAACAGCTTCATTTCAAACGACCCGAAACAAAAACTAACGTCGTAATTATGTCTAGCGTGTGATACTTTACCCCAAGTAAGAATAGTATAACCAGAGAGTTTACAGTGATAATAATATAGTAATACTGTCATGTCTGAGGATCATGCTGAAATGGATTCCATGGCACTGTGGTTTCTTAGGAAATGAACAGGCAGACAGATGGCCAAACTAGGAGCACAGATAGAGCAGCCTGACAACAGCGTCAACTACACAGAAAAAAATCCTATTATAAATTCACTATTTAAAGCACCACAGACACCAGATAGCTACCATGAGCTGTCCAGCCAAGAACAAGTGATTATCTTCCGACTAAGAACACAACACACAAGACTGAGACAACATATGTACAGATGTTTTAAACTAGTACAATCACCAAATTGCCAGTGTGGAGAGGCGGACCAAACTGTGGAACACATCCTTCAGCACTGCAGGACACACAGGGCTCTGAGACAGGAAACGTGGCCAACCCCACTGACGCTACAAGAGAAGCTATACGGGCCGACAGATGAACTGAGCAGGACGGCCCAATTTGTGACTGATACCGAACTTCAAGTGTGATGCCATCGAGAAGAAGAAAGAAAGAAGAAGTAGTAATACTGTAAATTTCTCTAATATAACCATATGACTAAATATTAGGATATTTTCTCCCCTCGTCATATCTGTGCCATATTATTAGATCTATGTGTGCCAGGAATTGTGTGGGGGCGTCAGTAGCCTGGAGGTTTGGCTACCGGACCCGTCGTCATGAGATTGCATGTTCGGAGGTTCGAGCCTCAGTCTGTCCGACGTGGTGTTCTTGAGCAAGGCACTTTATATAGGAATTTCCTATTTGGCTCGGTCTTTTTAAGATGGTTGTTTAACTCGGAGGTCCTCATTCTCCTTAAAGAACTGCATGGTGTTGATAGAAGCGTTAAACCAATGTCATTACCATTCTTGCCATTACCAGGTCTTGTGTACCACTTGAATACCCTCTGTGTAATAATAATAAATAACAAATGGCATTTGTATAGCTCCAATCCCCGCTCTATGCGATTTACACTATTATCACCCCTGCAGACCTTAGAACACTTAGGAACATTCTCAGCTTCCTGGGAAGCATACAGTGCAAGCTGCTGATTAAACGCTCAAACACTAAGACACTGACAAGATCTTTCACTGTCTTAAGTTGAGTACACATTGCCAACTAGATGAAGTGCCAAAAATGCGTGTTAAGTGTCTTTCCCAAGGACACAACATCGGGCTCTTCGCGGGATTCGAACACTCAACCTCACGAGTGCGAGTCTGAGAGCCTAACCACTAGGCCATCGTTAAACCAATGTCATCTGAAAGCCCCCTTTGAGCCGTCTGAATGCACTCTCTGTACCTTCTAAACACTCTGTGTATAATGAGAACGCCTTCTATGAACCTCTTGTATCTCGTCTATTATTAGGTGTTTCGTGGCGTTAGCCGTCCTGGCGTTGGCGGCTACGGCTTTGGCTAACATCAATGTGCCGATCAAGAACCACTGGAACGGTGGGTTCCAGGGAGAGGCCTGTTTTATCGTCAACGTCACGGTCCACACATGGGCCATCCACTTGATGTTTGACAGGGAAATCCAAAGCCTTGATGTACGTCATGATTGTCCGTCGTCTGTATTTCTGTATTATGTGTATGAATATTTAAGTAAACAAAATGCTCGGCTGACTAGCCTGCTCGCGCACTTGATTGTTGGCAGAAGCAAAAGAACACCAGAGTGTAAACTTTTAGTCAGACGACATTTACTCATTTTTTGAAGTTTAGACTTCAAAATTCTTTTTTTTTTAATCTATTGGTTCTCACAGGCATTTTTTTTCTTTTGGGTGTCACTGAAGTGAGAGATCTTGAGGCTGGTGAAAAGAAACGTTTTGCTCTTACCTCTTTTGTCTCGTACAGGCATACGTTGCTGACGTCTCCCGCAAACTGAACGGAGGTAAAGAGTATGTCCTCACCAGCAAAAGTTTCAACCAGGACCAACACCACGGAGACAGATTATGTGTCCAGTTCACCGGACATGGTAAGTAAGTCAGGCCCTGGACAGAGAACAAGGCTTCCTAGCATTTCTAAGAACATCTTAATTCTCTCAGACTCGGATAAGAATTTTGCAATAGCCTCTAGAAATTTAAGGTAAATACAGACCCAGACTGGGACGTGACTTGCGTGTTTCAGAGCACGATGAAGGACAAAGTTATTCTTAGGGGCACCAGACAGAAGGCAGCCCCCCCCCCTCCCTCTTTTCCAGCGTTGATAAATGACACAGTGAAATCTTCCCAGTCTCGGTTAACCACACATGACAGTGACCCAAATAAACAGAAACAACGCTCCCTCGTAACTATACTTCTGTGACGTATGGGGGTATCTTACCTCTTCACGAGTGAGTCAACTCACCGGCTAATTTTGGAGCCGATTTGTTGACTTAAAGGCCTTGTAGACCTCAACATCTTGTACCCCCCCCCCTCCTCTCACGAAAAAGTGATAATCAAACTTTGAAAAGTCAAACGATCAATGACCGGACCCACACCTAGGTCTATCATATGCGTATTGGTATCATTCCTCAATCTATACTCTTTTTTTTTTTTTCTTACTTTTTCCATTTTTTAAATCCAAAAATTGAGCTCTAATTACAAATTTATTAGCACATGTCTTGGGGAAACTGGGTAGTTAGTCTCAAATAGAAAACGGGGGGATATGCATCTTAAGAGGTTGTAGATTAAAAACTTCATTTCTGTTCGACAATTGGTTTATTATTTTTGTTTGATTTCCCGTTCAACTAACAATAATAATAACAACAAAACAACAGTCAAACATAAATGAAGCTAAGATTCTATGAATTTTTATATTGATACACTCAGGACTTTTATTTTGTAACAAGGCACATTTCTACCTTGGGCTCCTCATGTCATGTATACTGTGTCTTTGCGAAAATCTTAATATTAATTTTTGTGTTGAAGTCTGTTTACAACTTTTTTCGTGATTTTCTAAATCATTGGGCCTATTATAGCTCCAACGCTATATCTATATTACTGTGTCATTGTGAAGCTTTGTTCGTCTTTTCTGAACACAAATTGACCTAGTGGGTGATTGGCGGGTGCTCTGGTGTGATTTGCTCTTTCTTTCCTGTCAAATATCTATTGTCCTTATCCCCCCCCCCCCTCCTCTCTAGTGCACCTCTAACCTTGGGAACTTATATGACCTCAATGTGTTGCAAGCGTTGTGACCTTTAACCTTCCTTTTACTTTTTCATCCTCCGTTGTCGTTAAGAATCGAGGGGGGATGTAGTTTTCTGTGATAGTCCAGCTCTACAGCTCTTTTAATTCGGATAATTATTACAATTTCTCAAGGTTTCCTTGATTCCCTCAATCTATCTTTTGCGTGGTCTACTTCTTCCTTTGTAGCCTGAGTACTTAGTGTTATGGGCCCTCGAAGCTTGCTGGCCAGGGAATATTCGTAACAGGTGGCCAAACTATTGTATTTTCTTTCTTTTTTTGTAAGACGCTGGCAAGACTCGGTGCTGACAGTCGCTCTTACATTCATAATGCGATAACATTCTAAGTAAAACTAAAAAGTAAAAACTGACCTGGGCATTTTTTTTCTCATCAGCACACGGAGACGTGGTCCCCAAGGTCACCGCCAAGATGGACAAACAGCCCCAAGGGGGATCCGGACCCAGTGTGACAGCGTCACCCACTAGAGGTGCTTGCTACAGAGAGTGAATGCAAGAGAGATTGAAAGAGACAGAGAGAAAGGGGCATGTAAATCCAACCAGCCGACAACATTTCTGAGCGAGTGTCGTGCCGATAAGCCTACAGGGCATTTGGAAAGCTTTGTTTGTGGGTGTGTGGGTGTTTCTGTGTCTGTGTGTATGTGTGTGTGTTTGTGTGTGTGTGCTTGCAAGTGTGTACGTGTATATGTTTGTATGTGTGTATGTGTTTGTTTGTTTGTGCATTCCTTCCGTCTGACATTTATTATTTCTGTTCCGAACCCACTCAAATGCTTACCTTACGAATGTATGTATCGATCCGGCGAGGTGATAACCCAATAGAAAAGAACATCAAGTCACATCAAAGTCAAACACTCTCTTTCGATTGCCTATAAACTGCGCTCATTTAACCCCTCTCTCAATGCCCCAACACAGGCCGTTTCTTGCTCAGAGTGTATACAGTAGTTGACCCCTGGTGTTTCTTTCTACAGCTCCAGTAACTGCCCGGCCTGGACACACCCTGCCCCCAACCTCTGCCCCGGCGACAGGTAAGGATCAACTCACGGAGAACTATATAGTTCTTTCTTTACGCGCACTTTTTAAAAACCCAGCAAAATTTCCTTATTCGTACAGATTTTTCAATTCTGATTTTTGTTAAACTGTAAAAGGCAGACAACAATATACGTGCTATAAATAAGCAGATTTGTGCTTCTGGTTTCGCTACCTTACCATTACAAAGTTCTATTTGATCATGGAAATTCTTTTGAATTTGATAGAGCAGATAGAACAGTTGGTTTCTTACCTCATGGTCTTATTAGCTCATTACCGGAAAAATATCAGATATAACTTTGTAATTATAAGGAACGGTTTCTGTATGATAGTTCAAAAGGTATCGCAACACTCTGTTTTGCCGGTTGCTGATCGGACATATTGTGTGCCCACTGCGTTCATAAAGAGTTAACTCTTTCTACGTGAGTGGTTAGTAGATGTACTGATGGGGTTTACTTTATATTTTTCTATCAAGCATCTATCGTTCTCATTTCTCCTCCTTCTTTTCTTTGTATGATACTCTCTGTCAACACCTCTGGTTTTCATTTTATTCGTATTTGCAAGTGTAGTAAAACTCTTACTTAAACTAAAGCACACACAAAAAAACCGATCGAGTAGAAAAAGTTCTGTTGTGAGTTACAGGTAACAAGGCAAAGGAAAGAATTTCTCATGGATATCTCGTCGTAATCAGTGTGGCATAAACGTTATCCTCCCTCTTTTTTGACGTATTAGACGAATTTTTGTTCAACTTATAGATTGTTATTGAACCATTTTCAACCCTCCATTCAAAGTTTGGATCTTAGAATGGGATCTTTTTCTAAGAATGTAGGAGGACAAAGGAAATAAAGTATGTACCTGAAAACAGAAGAGACCAGTAACTGATTGGTTTTTAATGTTTTGCACTCATCAACAATACAATTTACACAGTTTAGGAAGCGTTTTTCTTTGACCCTGCATGCCGGGGCTATCCCAGGCTAAGTGGGATACAGCCTTGGAGCAGACAGTCGGAGATTCTTGATAGAATTGGCCCTCTTTGTGTTGGAATAGATCTAATGCTTTTTGTGTGCTGCAAAGATAAACCTTAAAAGACCATCGACGCCTGTCGTTAAGAATAGTCAGACGCCAAGAAAAAAATCCCACAAGTATACCGTTAAATAATAAACGCAGTAATGCTTTTAAATAATGATACAATGAAAGAATGGTTTGTCTGTCAGTGTCTAACGATGACCAATGCATAGGCGCAAGATATTATTTCTTAAGCGGAAGAGAAGAAGTACGGATTAAGATGACTTGTGGCTTTTGCTGAGGTTAATGAAACTAATTCTGGCAGAGAAGAGTTTGCCACATTTTGAGTGTGTGAAAGCTTCACTTCGATTCGTGGATGTGCGAAGCTTGGGTTTTGTCTCTTGGCTTCAGCATGATTTGTAATAAGGCATTATAACCTCTTTGGCTTCATAGCCTTTATCTCATGTGGGTTTTTTTCTCGCATCGCGTCATACCCTAGTGGCTCTCCCAACTGGTCATGGCATCAGAGCTCAGCTTCAAGTGGGCACGTCCTGGGACTCCAGATTTGAGGGTCAGTTCGACTTTAAAGTTACTCAAGACATCATCGGCTGGGTGGTCAAGATCAACTTCAACAAAGAAGTTGACGCAATGGATGTAAGTTCTGATTTTGTTGCTCATGGGAGTTTAGCATCACACTGTAAGCCGTTCGTTGAGATTGTGGGGAAAAAACCAGTTGGACGTCAGTTAACTTTAAATGAAATGAGGATTTTTTTCCACTGAAAAGTTTTTTTTCTCCGAAGTTCCAGGGCGAAAAATTTTTTTTCTGCCATATGAGTGGCAACGAAAATTTACACTTGTCAACAAATTTCAACTTTTTTTTCTGCCACCTGTGATACAATGTGTGTTTTAAAGTATTTGTTGATTTCAGATCCGCAGTCGTATTTGAGCTAGCACGTCAGGTTTTTAATAATATTGAGGGTAACCATTTTTCTGTATTTAGCACTGATATAAGAGATACCAATGAGAAGAAAGGTAAACTATAGTTACATTACTTTTTATCACTATTATCTGCATTTGTTAGTTACAAAATGTGAGAAAACGTCCATAGATTTCAAATATCAAAAGAACATTAAGCTTTACAAATTAGAAGTACTATTTGGATGAGTGAGAAGTGCTTGTGTGGAGTGTCCTTTTTGCATCGAAGAAACCAACAGAAATCTTCCAGCACATTTTTAGTTCTACCCTTATGTCTGTTCCCCACCCCCTTGTTATCTCGGTGAAAATGTCACCAAACTAATCCTTTATATTTTCATGGCTGGAAGGAAAAAAATCAAGATACAAGTACAGCGCCCGATTGTTATTGTTAGTATGTTTTTAACAGGTTTTTTCATCATCAAGTTAGAATTATTGTCAGGGCTATTATTTCTAAGGATGTTTCCCGATAGCAAACAGAATGCTTCACAGTTTCGGGTTCAAATGGATTTAGTTTGTCACCCAACAACCCAAAAGACACTTTAATATTTGCTCAGAGTCAAAATTTGGGCTTCTATCAAGAGTTATTTTCAAAAGGTGTGTGTGTGTGTGTGTGTGTGTGCGCGAGGGATTGACAAGACCTGGAATTGTTGTGAAGACATTTCTATCATAATGCAGCACTTTAAAAGTTACATCAAAAACCTCATGGGAAAAGACAATCTTCTATTTATAAATTTATAAAATCACATAATTGTTTAAATGTTAAATCTTTTGCTTCCCTTAACCAAAGGCATCAACGATCAAAATGAGTCACTGAAAGTATAAATTTCAGCAACGATTTTTCTTTCTTTCCCTCCCCAGCACTGAAATCCCTATGGATACACAAACAGCATCCAGAACAGACCGGCCACGCGCAGTGTCCCTACAGTGCCAGTGGTCCTCCTGTGGGCTAAATCCCTTTGGCAAAATTTGTGCTCCCATCTCGACATAATGTTTTGTGAAGGAATCAATGAGTAAAACTCGAGACGTCACATTGCTGAAATGTTGAGAAATTGTACAATTAAAGTTAGCAGACCTATCCACTGCCAAATCTGTTGGATATCAATAATGTATTATGTGTCCTCTTGTACTTATACATTTGTACATTCAAATACGGGGAAGGGTGGGGCATGCTGGATGTCCGAACAAAAAAAAAAAGCAAGACAGAGAGAGTGAGACAAACTCGCCACATCCTCTTCTAACGATGAGGATATAAAAGCAGACACGTCCTTGGTGTGTGTTTTTGTCTTGTTTTCTTTTTTTGTTCTATTTTGTTTCATTTTTTGCTTTATTTGTTTCTTTTTTTCGTCTGATGTTCATTATCAGGAGATGGGGGGGGGGGGATTTGGTTATGACAAGAGAGCTCATATTTGTTTTAAACACTAATTTATGAAGTGGCAACATTATATTCAGAATTGTTGGATTTTGGTATTAAAGATTCGACTTTCACATTTCCAGTTAGCTTTTGTTCTTTTTTAAAAATTTCACCAGAAACATCTATAGATGTCTTACTTACTACACTAGCTTTTTTTTACTTTTTTCACCCGAGTAGTAAGTATTACTTTGCGTCATTATGCTTACAATGTTGTGTCTTGAAATGGGATGGGTTTTTTTAGATTGTAGCAAAGAAGGCGAGGTGGCACAAAAAACTCAGCTATCCTTAAAAAAACTACATGCTTAAGTTAACTTACACAAGTGTAATGGCAGTCTTGCAAGGGAATGCCGGAGGACTACGACCTGCCATTGCAGAACTGCAACACTCACTGGCCACGTTGTGCCCAGGTGTGGTCTCTATTCAAGAGACAAGGTTCGCCCCGAATTCAACCATAGACTTGAGATGATATACAGCGCTTCATCATATTCTAACAGAGAACCAGATTGCTTTCGGTGGAACCATCATTTATCGGAAAGAACATACTCCAAAGACAAATACGCCTTAGGACGACCCTCCAGGCTATTGTCATATAGGTAGCCTAACACAGACCAATCACGATCTGCTCCATTTTGGTCCCGCCAAATTTCCCACCTGACTGAATTAAAACATCAACTCCAGAAAACCTTTATTTTGCCAGGAGATGTCAATGCCCAGTCTCCCCTTTTGGTAGATTAACCCGCCGATAATAAAGGTGAAATAATCGAAGGCTTTTACTCCAAAACAGCACCTGTCATTTAAATGGCAAATCTCCCACCTACCGAAACAGACTAACATGAAACACCCCATCCCTGACCTTACCTTCTGCACCCCTGGCTTGGTCCCAGATTGCGAGTGGTGTGGGCTGGATGTCCGTACAGACCATTTCCCAATTCTTCTTTAAAAAAATAATAGTCTCCAAATCGACTCCATCCCCGACGTTTCAACTTCAAAAAGAAAAAGCATAATAGGACAGTTTCGCCTTTGAAAACTTTCAGATTTTGAAATCCACTTTTAGCCTCTACTGTAATAAATTCCACAAAACGCTTCTAGAATAATTTCAAAAAATATTCCAAAACTCCAAGAAGAACAAGACACCAGAGTCAATGAGGACCTAAAAAACAGGTGGGTTTTTTTCTTTTTCATGACCTCCTAACGTGGCACTTCATCACTCATCAAAGCAACAATAAACTTAAGACTTCAAACCACACACACTAAACCATACAAAGACCCAAAACCGTCAATAGCGCTTGCAAAAGACACTCAGTAAACAATACCCCAATGGAGAGATAATCTTCACAGATGGCTCTAAATCAGACTCAGCTACCTGTAGGCGCTGCTGCCCTATCCACACAAAAAACACTCAACATGGCGGGCTCCATCCCAAGGCTTCCATTAATTTTTTTTTCGGAAGCCCACTGCATTGACATGGTATTGGACTCCGTAGACAATTCTCCCAAATTGTTCTTTCTCATTCTGTCTTGTTTTGGTTTTGGTTTTTGTTTGTTTTTTGTTTGTTTGTTTGTTTGTTAGGGGGGGGTTTGGGGGGGGTGTCTTGCCTAACTTCACTCTCCTGTCTCACCTTTTAAACCCAAAAATACTTAAATTGAGTGTAAGGATCCGCTCCTTGACTGAACAGGGAAAAGATAGTGTGTGCGTGGCTTTCAAGCCATGTAGGCATTCAAGCAAACGAGCAGGTCGATCTTCTGGCAAAGCAATCCGTGTCCCTAATGTTGGAATCAAAGGAGGACATCCTCTCGCAGACAGACTTTAAAAATAAGGTCAAAAGCTACACCTTTAGTCTGCGGGAGGAATACTGGGGCGTACAATTGAACAACTAACTCCACAAAGTAATGTCCAACATGGGCCCACAAAAACCTTCTGTTCCCTCCAGAAGAAGCGAAGTTATTTCACCCAGACTGCGTATTGGACATACCTCCCTGTCGCATTAATACCTCCTGCAGGGATATGAAAAGCCGTTTTTATATCGGATGCGACACTGATTTTACCCCCAGGAACATCCTGACAGAATGTGTGGACTTTGGAGAGACCCAAAGGAATTTTTTCTCTTCTCTTTTTATATTAATCTTGGAGAATGTTGCCATTATCGTTCGACCCAACTGAAATCTGGATTATATGTATAAAGACCATAAGTCTTTACTCACAGATGTTCATAATACTACTTCAAATAATATTAAATGACAGTTTTCACTATCAAATTTTCACCACCAATTTTAAACTCCAACCTTGCTGTGAACTGACGTAAAAACAACCAACTTGTGTCCCTCCCGCTCTTATGACCTTATGTTGCGAGTTGTGAAAAACTCTTACCTAACGAAACTTAAGTTTAGAGTTTGTGAACGCAACGTATTTTTCACTCAAGTAACTTTTCGCCATGGTGTTGCCCTGTTGTTGTTTTTTAATTTTTTTTTTCATCATATCATATGGGCTACCATAGCTCGGGCTTGTGATAGCAACAGGTGGTATATAGCCGTTTTTGTATAATTATATTATGGTCTGCAAATCATAAAGATTGAGAAGATTAGATCCGTCATCTTTTCTTATAATACTTCAAACCTTTATTGAATATTCGATGTGGCCCAGGCTCACCCAGACTCTACCTCCAGCGGCCTTCGTGTAATTTGAGTTTGAGTCTACTGATACATGGGTTCTGTAAGCCCGAGACCCCTTTGTCATTAGATAGGAGACGGAGGATAATTTATCTCTCCGGTATTGTGTTCCACTCATCTGAACAATTCTAGTCTGGGAGGCTTCTCGATTATAATATTATTAGCCTTTGCACTTCTTCCTCAGAATGTGTTTGCAAGAATGTGTTTACCCCTCCCCCCCCCCGACAGACACACACACACACACACACACACACACACACACACACACACACACACACACACACACACACACACACACACGGGTGGTAGAAAGGGCAATGACTTTCAGACAATAAAAATTATAGAGTATAGCTGCCGAGTTGTTAACAGAGAATGGTCATGAAGAGAAGAGAACCCTGGTGAAACAGGAGCTTCAATAAATGCTCAAAGAAGGTACCATCTTGGCAGTCAATTTAGGCCATTCATCAATACAGTTTATTATAGCCATAATGGGATTGTTGTTTGTTTTGGGTTTTTTTGGGTTTTTTTTTGGGGGGGGGGTTGGGGGGGGGGTTGGGGTAGTAGTAGTTTTTGGGTTTTGATGTGGTGGTTTTTGTTGTTGTTGTTGTTGGGGGTGTGTTTTTTTTTGGGGGGGGGTGTTCATGTATTTGTTTTAGTAAGAGTTTTACAGCACTTGCAGCACAATAAGGCCATGTAAGCGCCAAAGATTAGAAGTGTTACAAGAGAGAAACAGACAAAAAAATGAAGAAGGGGAGATAAGGACGATAGGTGTTTGATAGGAAAGAGAGAGCAAACCACACCAGGGCACCCTCCAACCACCCGACCATAGTTATTTGTGGGGAAATTATAAGATTGTTTTCATTGAACAAAACAAATTTGAGTTTGATTTCCCTCTGGAGAAGCTAATCTACTAAGTATCTTCATCAATACGCTGGTACTAACTGACATAATCAAAATTTCCTGTCTCCTAAATTTCTACATTCTTTCGATTTATAGGCAAAGAAAGGGGGGTGGGGTGGAGGCAATATTTTCATAACAAATACAACATGTATAACGCTTTGTTGAAAGTGTTCAATTGTGCTTTATTTGGAATTCAGCCGGACAATATTTTAGCGCAATGTGAAAAAAAAATGACCAAAGTCTCCAACGCACAAAAGGTTTAAGGAAAAACTCGTGATGTCCATTTTGGTTGCAAACTTTACCGTTTTTAATAGTTCAAAGTACTTCATTAAGTGAAATGAAATTGCTGTATATGACTGTATAAGAGCCAAAAAAAACCCCCCAACATATTCATATACAAAAGGTTTTAAAATAGAGTAAGTCTGCAAATTTTGATTTTACAATTTCTAAAAAAAAACTACAACACTGTGACATCACGAGTTTTTCTCAGTGATTCCCTTATATAATAACATAAAGTTGGGCTGGGTGCAGTAATTTGGGCTAAAGCATTTAGCCCACAGCGGGACCACCAGCACTGTAGGGACACTGTGCGTGGCCGGTCTGCTCTGGATGCTGTTTGTGTATCCACAGGGATTTCAGTGCTGAGGAGGGAAAGAAAAAAAAATCGTAGTTGGCTTTTATACTACCAGTGACTCATTTTGACTCTCTCTAGCACGCATAAACACACGCACACACACACTCGCGCATACCTACACACACACACACACACCCGCGCGCACACATAAGCATACACACACAAGCACACACACATACATACACACACACAAACACAAACACAAACAGTCAAACCAACTCACCAGCAATAGCGGTGGTGAACCCAGCGTTGTAGTCTGTGGCCACCTCGTTATTGACGTAGTTCAAACGTTTGTCTGAGTAGTTGTCGCTATCTCCAGGACCTCCGACCAGAGCTCCGTACAGGATGTGAACGTTGGGCTCACTGCTGGACTGGATGAACGGTCCACAGGGGGCGGGCAGGTTGGGGCATGAGCTAGAGGAGGGAGTTGGGGGGGGGGAGAGGGGGAATGTGTGGAGGAGAAAGGTGGGGTGGGGATGTGTGGTGAATATGGGGGGGGGGGAGGGTGACGATAGGCAGGGTTGGATGGGGTGGGGTGGATTTTTTAAATTTTTTTTGGGGGGGGGGGGGTGAGAGGTATAACATGAGATTGGGATTAATTAACTTTTTATAAATCGTATGTCCTTCCTCGTTTTGTTGCTGCAAGTTCGGTAAAACGTTTATCATAAAAGAGACACGCTCCAAGCTACAAATTGGTTTTACTCACCAATACGTTAAGAAAAAAATGAAAGTTTGATATATGAAGGTACAGCTGCTGTAGAGCATGCAGCCAGGTATCTATGATTAATGAGAAAAACACCCCAAAAATGCTTTGTCTAACCTAGTCAGAAGACTTCCAAAATTATAAGAGTTGTGATTTGGGACCTTTTTAAAAAATACAACATGGAGCAGTTTGATATTTGTTTTCAGATTAAAGGTTTGAAGTCTTTAGAACGTGTTGCACGGTGTCATTAATACATTTATAAGTTCCCTAGACCTCTAATGAGAACTTGCCAAAAGTTTAAGGGAACAATCCTTTATAGTTAACCTTAAATAAATTTCCTCAATCTGGAACTCGTGAAACATCGTGCAAGATATTCAAGATAATTCAAACATTTTAAAACTGTCGTCTGATCCACCAAGAAAGAGACTGGACCTACCTGGATCTGTGATGTGGACTGCGGGGATAGCCTTTGTTCCCGAACCCGATGAGGTAGCTGAAGCCAGTGTCTCCCAGGGCGTAGTGGATTTGGCACATGGCCCAGTGGCGGTATGGTCCGGGGTTCACTCCCAGTTTAGCCGCAATCAGTGCACCCATGGCCATGTTGGCTGAAATTATGAGGATTATTTACACTTTGACTAATACGTTTATCATATCATAGTTATCATCATCATCATATTATCATCATATCATCATCATCATCATCATCATCATCATCATCATCATCATCATCATCATCATCATCAACATATTCGTCGTCGTCATCATCATCATCATTCTCACCACCACTACCACCACCATCACTACCACCACTACCATTACCACCTTTATCCTGATTCCAAAAGAAGAGGGGTGAATATTTGCAATGAGAAATGTGACGATAGATACGTTAAACCTTAGATTAATAAATATCCCCACTTCGTTATTTTACAACTCACAAGAGTATCTAAGCGATGCCCACTGCAGTCTGAAAGCCAAGCCCTTGGGTGTGTATTTGATGTCGCCACCAGGGAACCATGATCTGTACGTGCCCTCTATGGCCTGCTTATACTTGGCTTCTCCTGTAGCTTTGTACAGTAGCAACTGGGAAATAAAGTAGGTAAGATGAGGAGGTTACACGACCCTTTTTCACTGTAAGTGCGAGTACTCGTGTTCGTGTGTGTGTGTGTGTGTGTGTGTGTGTGTGTG